GGAGTCATGGACCCATATTCAGTAGGACTTGCTGTTGAGGGCAAGACCACCACCACTGGTTCTCTTTGGTTTTGAGTTCTAACCACAGCTCCCACAGCGGCTGCTGCCACAATGAACAAGGAAATTGCCACAACAAAAAACATCCGCTTCTGTCTCTTCTTCATTTGCTCTCTCTCTCTTGGAGCTGTTGTAGATCCACTGGAGCAGCAGCTGGCATATTTTTCTCCTCGTCTTCATCTTCCAGGACTAGATTTGCCACTGCCAGTTGGCGTTCACTGCTGGAGGGCATTTCGTCATTTGTTTGAAGCAGTGTAGAGGAATCTCCATCTTCCATCTGCACCAATGGTACACCCGGACCAGTGGTACTGGCACCCACAAGAGAGAGTCGTAGGTTATTGGCTCTTTGTAAGGCTTCTCCTGGTACACCCATATAGGCTCCTGGTCTCTGCTGGGTAACTTCAGGTTGTACCATTGAATTTGAAGCGTTTGCGATTTTTTCCATTTTGGCATGTTCGTTGAGTTCGGTTGCCATTTGCATGAGATCATCCATGGGCGTGTTATTATTGTGGTCTTGGGAATTTGCAGCAACTGTAAATTTCTCCATTTTGGCATTTTCATTGATTTCCGCTGCTATTTGCATGAGGGCAGTGATATCGTTGTCCTCTGCTGTTGGCAATCCTTTGACAGGAATACCCCCAGCAGGGGTAGCTGCCTCTTTCTTTGAGAAGAATGATAGCTGCCCGCTTTGTTGGGGGTTGCTGAGCTGAGCTTTCATTTTGCCTGACTTTTTGTGTCTGTGCTTGATATCTTCGTCCTCCTTCAACATTAGCGCGGTTGACAAGCTGGCCTGATCTGCCACAATTTTCATGATTTCTTCTTCATCTACAGCTTGATTGGCTTCTTCTGTAGCTTGCTGCTGCTGTTTCTGTTCCTGCTGGTTAGCTGTCGACTGGGTTTTAATGCTTCTACTGTTGGTACCAGCCAGGTCGGGGACTGTCGTTTTGACTGACTGTTTCTTGACAGCTTCTTCTTCTTCTGCCTGTGTTTTTGCAATGGTGGTTTCATGGTCTCGTTGGACTTGTAAGGCTTCTGCCTCTGCTCTCTTGATAAGGGCGTCTCTTACCGCTTGGTCGAGAATATCGTCATTACAGGTACCAGTGGCACCATCATCAGTACCACCGTTGGTCCTGGCATGATCGCCCTTTCCTCCTTTCATCTGGCTTTTATAAATACTTCTTGTTGCTTCTGAGTGCGGTTACTATTATCTACTCGAATATATCTAACATAATAATCATGAGGGGTTCGGACGATGGTGCTCTTTTGCTTGCGTGCATGGATGGTCATGATGGGCAACCATGTTTATTTGCTGCTTGGGGAGTACTGTACTACATGTACTGTACTGTACACAACGTGATGCGTGTTGAGCCGGGGAAGGACATATGGTTGTCTTGGGTAATTAACGCAGTTAAGGTAATGTGACGTGTAAAGATTTAACTATAACATCGTGGTAATGTACCGTGGAAGTCTCATTCAACTCTCTGTCTGTGAGGGCCTTGCAACAACAAGGCACAGGCATGGCACGATAGTATATTACATGTATGGTACGGAATCGAGAAGATTGTAATTGTGCTCAACATACGGTAGTCAGGATTGACACCTTCTGTTTGCTGCGGTTGAGTAACCGAACAATGGAATGCTCACGTAGTTTTCCTTTGGGTTTGGTCGGCGGTGAGGAATTGAGACAGTACAAATGCAGAAATTATTCTCGTTCAAGCTGCATCGTATCTAAAGTTTCGTTGTACGTATCTCCACTGGGAAAGTTCTTGGTCAGCTTAAAACTGAGAGATCAAGTCGGCAGGAATAGAATCGAATCTAAAAGTTACGACGCAGGGTTTGCTTCTTTCATTTTGCCTGCTTCACGACGTACCGGTACCGTACGACACCACCATGGCTATCGAATCTCTTCAACGTCGCACCGTATTCTCCTTTTGGGCATCATATCACGCTCGATTCTCTATAGCCTTGCTTCAGCGTTTTGTGTTTTTCCTTTTCCAGGATCGCTCCTTGTACCGGTACAAGCAACTCGCAACAGCCTTACGACTTCGATACTATCACTCGAGGCCGGAGGTTTAACCTTCGCTCGCCGTGTACCTACCGGTACACAGCTGCACAGTTGGTCGCGGAATCTTGCCCAACATGGCCTCCGTTTCTCCTCCATACACTCAGCCAGCGTCCTTCGAGGTCCTGGTAGATTGATCCTACTACCGGTGCGTACGCTCCGAGAAGCACCACCTTGAATCAAGAAATGCAATGCCAGAGACAGCGGCATTTGCGAGTCGTCTTGTCAGAGCAAAGTCTCCAAAAATCTTCCAAGGCAGACCCAGAGCGACTGCGACAAGCAGCCGAAGAACGGAGCGAGTGCATGGGCGCGGATGCGGGCTCAGCAGCTGGGGTCCTTGGACGAGCAAGAGGCCACTGGCAGAGCTCCAGCCTTTTTGAATTAAAACCTCACAGCTGCCATACGACGACGCTCTCTTGCAAGTACGCAATTGGGAATGGAACGGCTCGTGCTCAATCAACAACCTCAGTTCCCACAGAAGCAAGCTCGCTCGTCGCGGGCAGCAAAAAAAAAGCAACATTCTCGGACAGTCATTCGATCCAGAAGAAACAACGGTAGATAGCAACGATCAAGAGTATTATCTATAATAGTAAACGAATGCTCTCATTGGCTGCGGTGCACCGACAGTCGCATCCACAGAGCTGGTCGGAGCAATCAAACCCCAAAAAGCACCTTTTTGTGCCGTATGTTCCATACTTGCAGGACGAAGCATTCTGAAGAACACAAATCTCTTCGGGAAGTGTTCCAGACAGGCCCGAGCTGCCACTAATATTCAAATGCCGTAAACTGGTCAAAAGAGCCAATTCCGATGGAAGGGTTCCCGTCAGAAAGGGTAAGCTGGACAAATCCAGCACTACCAGGTCCGACATGTGTGCTATTTCAGCAGAAATGCGTCCCGAGAAGTCGTTGCCTTCCAAGCGAAGCTGCTCGAGGGCAGTCAAATTTTGCAGCTCTCGAATGGGAACCGTGCCTGTAACAGCAAAACGTAATAGAAATGGGAGATTCATTCATTTAGCCAAGCATCATGATTTTTTCGGTGACAGACGTAACGTACGTACCATGGAAGGAGTTGTGCTGCAGAAATAGTTGTTTTAGCTGCGTCACCTGAGAAAGCTCGGTGGGAAGTTTGCCAGTGAAGAAGTTGTCGTCCAATTCCAAGTGGGTCAGCATACTCATTCTTCCAACGTGGCTGGGAAGGCTCCCAGTCAGCAGATTGCCTCTGACACCACGAAGCGAATTGCTTCCAACAATGAGTTTTTGAAGCGAGGGCATCATGAATAGCTCACTGGCAAGCGTTCCGGTAATCAAGTTTCCACCAATGCTCAATCCAGACAGCTTTGAGAGCAATCCAATCTCGCTGGGAATAGAGCCAGTGATTTGGTTGTTTCCAAGCCCAATAAAAACGAAGTGTTGCATCAAACCGAGTTCAGTTGGCAGTGTTCCGGTCATGTCATTGTTGATTAGATTCAAATGTGTCAGACTCTCCATTTGGTAGAGTTGTTCCGATGTGGAGATGGCAGCATTCTTGGCCCCCCAAAATAAACGCGAGAGGCTTGTATCAATCTCACAGTGTCCACATGAAATGCGAGACAAGGCCGTCAACATGGCAACTTCGGGTGGTATGGCAGGCGCCAATCCTGAGAGCTCAAGACTGTCCAAGCTAATATACATGAGCTCTCCATGTTCGTTGCAGGAGGGTGTTTGCAAATGAGGAGGGTATTCCCAATATCCATTTCCCATCAAGTAGGACCCAAAAAGGGTGGAATACCAAAAGCATTCTTCCAAGGTTTCATCTAACCATCGCTCCTGAATGGGCTGGAACCAATGTTCCCCTTCAAATGCATAGAAGAATGTCGCCATGGCAAAGAGCTGCTTTTTCCTCCACTCTTGTAGGTTTGTCACATTTTGATGATTGGATAGCCAATCCCATGCCTTCCACTGGGGAGTACCAAATTTTTGTAGGCTTTCCAGAGTGTAGGTTGGCAATTCCATTGCGAGTTGATGGAGGCTTCCCGTGGGAGCAGAGCTTGGCACGTGGGATGGAGTCAAGGAACCAAAGATGGTTGGCGCCACGGTTTTTGTTCCCTGCTGTGCCACGATGCGACAATACCATTGTGCATTGACTAGTCTAAAGATCTAAGAGATGTAAAGGATGTATTTCCAAATAAGTGAGCAGTTATTGATTATTTTCTAGAATAAGCCTGCCAATTGTAAAGCTGTAAAGCTGAATTGTAAGCTGTATCCCGTCGCACTCCCTTACAGCTGAAATGAAGCTG